TCGGTAAACTTCCCTGGCCGGGCCCGCCCGGCAGCGCGGCCGGGCGCTCTCCGTTTGCCTGACACCAGTAATCCGAAACAGGGGCTCCCTATTAACGTCTGAAGACTAACGGAGCCGTTCATCTGAGGTTTAAACATACTGTATTAATGTGTTAGCTAAATGCGGCTTTCTGTTTAAAAAACATTCTCGTGAAGTTGCTTTCTTTAAAAAATATGCACTGAACTGGAGGAATAAAGCCGAAGGAAAGTGGGTCCAGTATTTTAGATAGGCCTCACCTGGGCTTTAGATCAGCTGCAGTTAAACTACTGAACCATCTTTGGGTTTTGGTTCTTTTTTCTGCTTTCTTAGACAAATTAGTGTAAAAACTATTTTGGGAGTGGTGTTCCTTTACCTGTTGGAAAGCTCTGGGATAGTTTAGTCTCTAAATCTCTACTTAGACTCCAAGTCTTGCGTAAAATTCTGTTTGCAAAAGTTGACAAACATTTAAAAGTGGGTGTACGCATTCTGTTTTGGTTCTAAATGTGATTTGCTCAGGTGTGTAACTCAGATGTTGCAGCCTGAAACTTTAAGGCCTAGTTAAAAAACAAACAAACACACCACCACCTCCCCTGACTTTGAACAGTCTGTGTCTAAACAGGCAAAGTCTCAACAGAAGTGAGTAACAAACAGATAAGTTTTAAAGATTAAACCAGATAATTGAAATTTCCCATTAAAATTGTCTGAATTGCTGTGTTACAGTGATTTGGTAATAGTTGCGTGATGGGATACATTAATCATGAAAATACTCCTTGTCCCTCTTTTCACCAAAGAGTTGACCATGTGTTTTAGTTAGACTAATGATTAATGGTGTGGTTTAGTAGTGCACCTTTTTGCTAACTGACTAGAAGATCAGGAAGATGAGGTTGCATTCATGGTCCGAGCTGTCATTTTGCAAATACTTCATGCTCAAGCAGACTCTGTGTCTTTCTGCTAGGAACAGCCGTGTTCCCCACCCCGGCACCCAGCACAGCACGCGGAGTGACAGCGGAGGAGCTTCTCTTTTGTGTTTCTCATGATGATCACATCATCAGCAAAAGTCCGCTTGACACAAGTCGGAGTAGTTTTCTGTCCGAATGGCTGCTTGCCTGCAAGGGAGTTTGCTAAGTGTAACGATCCTAACAGAAAATAGTTTTGCGACTGTAGCAAAATTTTAAGCCAGGTGTTAGGCAGGAGCTTCCACCCTTTGCGTCTGAGCCAGCCTGCTGACTTCGTGAGGCTGTTGTCCAAATGAATGTTCATAGTGTTAACCCCTTGACTTGGAGAGGTTCCCGAAAGGCTCGGGAATCAAGATAAGAGGATGGCATGGCAGATGTGCTTCAGCGTAGCAGTAGTCGCACGTCAGTGCCGTGGGTTGAAAGGAGATGGGGAATTGTTCCTCTATATTCATGGTTTGAACGAAAGCTCTCTGTTTTATTCATTCAGTGACTCCTGGTTTAAAGTTTCTGGGCACAAAAGGATAAAAAATCAGAAGTACATGTGGTTCTCTTTACATGTAGTTTCACAGAAAGCTTGTTCTCTGAGTAATTCTTACCAATTTGTCACTTATAAACACATTTTGCCTACAGACCAGGGTTGTGACTTCAAAGTGAAAACATTTTTTGTCTTTACCTAGAGAGCTCTGAACTGTGCCTCTGACAACTTTGTGATAAGTAGAAAAGTATATAAATACAGTGAAATGGAAATTTTCATGGAAGTAGAATTGCCTCTAACTTTTTTTTTCCCCAATTACAGCAATTAGTAGTATTGTTCATGTGTAAATTCCATAAGATTAAACACCAGTAAGATTACAGTGGTCCTTGTGTTTCAAGAGTGTTCAGACCAGGAAGCAACTTATCCCTTGAAATAGTAACAATTTCCAGTGAAATCGATTTTCTTACAAAATTCCCCTGAAAATACTACTATCTGTTCCTGTACTGTGTTAAAAAGAAAAGCATATATGTTAAATGGATCTGCGTAGGAGATGCTTATGTTCTAAATACAGTATTTATTCTGATCATTTTGTTTGTGTTTTTCTGTGGGGGGAAAAAAGTGGCTTGGAAGTGTGAAAATGAAGGCTTTGATTTTACATTAAGAAAAGTCTCTGAAAAGGTTGCCAGATCAGTTGATACATCTGTGTGTCACTCCCCTTCCGTGAAATGGAGATAATGATAATATCCTTTGTCATTATCTACTGTCGGTTAAGCTTGTTAACTAATTATGAAGTTCTTTTTGTAAATCCTGTAGCTATTTGACAACTAAAAAGAAGTCTTGGAAAGCATACCGAAAAGTGAGAACTTACCAAATGTAATAGTGAAGTAAAACAACATTTTAAAACAATATTAAACTATTTTAGAAGGTAATGGATATCGTAGCAATATTTTGGATACCCATAGATATCTAACATAGATACCTAATGGATGAGTTTTGTGGAAAAACTGCACAGGCCAAGTTTGTTTTACCTCTCATTCAAATTATGAAATAAGATTTATACAGAACACATTTTATATTGGTTTTATTAATGACCCCAGTTTGAATGACCTTTAACAACACACTTACTTGGTCTTTATTATGTGGTTTTTAATTTAAACTCCTTGGTGAGAAAGGATGTGTCATGTTTATGCTGTATATGCTTAAAAGGAATTATTTATCACTAAAAATGTTTAATTCTTCTTCCAGGACTTCAGTGATTCTGGACCACTGTTACTGAAATGATATTACAGAAGGCAGCAATCGCATTGTATTTGTTGGACGAAACCTAAATATTTACTTCCAGTCAAGTGGGTAAAACCCCCTAACTGCAGTTTACATGTGTAGGTCACTGCGTTACTGCGTTAGTCATTGTCTCTATGCAGCAATGACAAGGCTAGAAGAAGCAAACAGAGAAGTGAACATGCACTCTTCGGTCAGATACCTTGGCTATCTTGCCAGAATCAACCTCCTAGTTGCCATTTGCATGGGCCTGTATGTCAGATGGGAAAAAACTGCAGATGCACTGATTTTGGTAATATTTATTCTGGGGCTCTTTGTTCTTGGAATTGCCAGCATACTGTACTACTATTTTTCAATGGAAACGGCAAGTTTGAGTCTCTCCAATCTTTGGTTTGGTTTTTTGCTTGGCCTTCTCTGTTTTCTGAATAATTCTGCCTTCAAAACGGATGTGAAAGAAGAAGCTACTAAATATTTGCTCCTCTCCGCCATTGTTTTAAGGATATTATGTGCTTTGGTTGAGAGGATTTGTGGTTGTATCCATTATCGACCGACTCTGCTGACGACGGTTGAATTTTTGGAGCTAGTTGGATTTGCAATTGCCAGCACAACTATGCTGGTAGAAAAATCTGTGAGTATTATTCTGCTGGTCATGGCTTTGGCCATGTTGATTATTGACTTACGTATGAAGTCTTTTTTGGCAATTCCAAATTTGGCAATTTTTGGAGCCATTGCATCCTTACTCTTTTTTCCATCACTGCAAATCCCCACAAACCCTTTTGCCTTGGCATGTTTCTTCAGCTGCCTGATTTCGGATCCCCTTCTCGACGTTTACTTCAGTGGACTTTCAGTTACGGAACGATGGAAGCCCTACTTGTACCGTGGTAAAATTTGCAGAAGACTTTCTGTTGTCTCAGTTGGAGTCGTTGAACTAATCTTTTTCATTCTTGCAGCCTTTAAATTACGTGATTTGGATCTCTGGTATTTTGTGATACCTGGGTTTTCTATTTTTGGAATTTTCTGGATGATCTGTCATGTGATTTTTTTTATAACTCTTTGGGGATTTCACACAAAACTAAATGACTGTCACAAGGTATACTATACCCACCGTGCAGAAAACAACAGCCTCGACAGAGTTATGGCGTCAAAAGGAATGCGTCACTTCTGTTTAATTTCGGAACAGCTAGTATTTTTCAGCCTTGTCGCGACTGCTGTTTTGGGGGCTGTTTCTTGGCAGGTAAATAATAATCTCTTTATCTTGATCTCCCTCTTGAGAACGCTCCTGAGAATTGTTGGCTCCTTAAAATTCCTGTGACATTTGATGGTGTGCTGCGGCTCAGCAATTCAAAGTTGGAACCCTTGGTTTCACCAGCATGTGCTTTGAATTTTATGCTGCCTTGGCTCTGACCTGTTAAGGAACGGGAACTTACCAGCTTCCGTATGTTGGCAGAATAGGAGGAGTTAATGCTTCCAGGGAAAAAAAAAGTGTGTCAAGTATTTTACATTTACCTACTTACTTTGCTTTTGAATTCATTGCGTCATAAAATTTGTTTTCAGAGTAAATCAGGGTATTGAACCCTAGTAATGCTCACGACATTGAGGGCTTTTCTTATAGACTATTTTAATTGAATCAAGGCACATTCGTGTTTTAAGAACGTATTTTTCAGTAATTTTGCTTTGCGTTTAACCATTAATGTGGAGTTAGAGATCAGCTGATAAACTGGTAAATTGTTGATATAAGCACGTGCACCAAGTGTCTTATTTTCACATTTAGTTATGCACCACAGGATGCATCCTCCAAAAGACCAGTTCTTAGAATCACACAGCGTTCTTTGACTTTTCTTTCCATCTATGAATTAAGGACGTTGTCTTTTCTTTAGCAGAAAACATACATTTCTCTCGAAATGTTTGTTCAGTGCCCAAGTTAAAGTACATTGTGTGTTATCTCAGTTGCAGCAGGGTGTTTGGTGTCTGTTTTTGTTTTTAAGTTGATCTAAGACAAGACAACAGTCATTTTTGTACACATGCATCTCTTAAATGAATTACATATATATATAATAATAATATATAAAAAATTCGTATTATTTATGGCAGATCCAGTTTACAGAGATGTCTCTGCAGTGTTTCAAAAACAATTTGCTGCCCGTTCCTGCAGATTTTCTTAGATAAATAACCTCGTGGACAAAAGGTGTTAAAGGACTTGATGGAAAAGAAATTAACAGTTATTTTGTCAGGTGTTATGTGTTGGGTTTTTTGGTTTGCTTTGGTTTTGGTTTTGTGGGGTTCTTTTGTTGTTTGGTTGGGTTTTTTTCTTCATGAGGAGCATTAGAGGTTGACAGACAAACGTGGGAGGAAGGCTGGGTAGTTTTGCTCTGTCTTTGGAAAAGTATCAGCATGCGTAGCTATAGTGTGTGGGCTTCCAGAAAGGATGAAAGGAAGAAATAGAAGCAAAAAGAAGTAGAGAAGAAAAATCCCCAAAATGTATTTACAGAAAGTGAAGGTGCTGATGCACCAAAAGAAATGGGAAAGTGGTTTGGGAGACAGAAACAGTAAAGATGGAATATCAGCGTGCTAATATTGCTAACTTCCATCCTTTTTCTTCTGAATATTGTGTGATTTTATCAAAATGCTAGTCTTTAATTTTTATATGCTAGATGACTGTTTTTCAGTAAAAGCAATTTTTTACCGTCTTTATCAGATAATCTTACTAATTTCTCTATCCTTGACCTCCTCCTTTAACATCCTGAGACACATTAGTTAATAATTACACAGTTTTAAAATTATTTGGATGGAGTCACACCACCTAGTTACACGTAACAAAACAGTCAGGACAAATCAAGTGAGTAAGTTATGCAGATAGTCACTGGAGAGAGAGTAAACCACCAGACTTGGACAGGATCTCCTGCTGGAGCCCTTCACAAGGAGAACTTCATTACTGCAAGCTGTGTGCCGAAGCGAGGAGAGTTGGATTCATACCCATCTTATTACTTTTTTCTTTTCACATGGATCGATAATTCATTGTAATTTTTTTCTCTCTTTGTCCTCTGTCCCAAAATAACTGCAACTGTTATCATTTTCAGTTCTCTCTAATTCTGAAGAAGTGCAGCTGTGCTGTGGAGTGACTTGTGCAGCACCATTCACAAGATGCAAACCAGCAGTGCGGCTAAAATCTTAGTATTTGTTACTGGTTAATTTCAGTTTCTAGTGTCCTGTGTGTAAATAAGATAAGCTGTTGCTCATCACCTTTGCCTGGTAGGTTGTGTATTTGCCTGTTCAGTGGGAGAAGCAGTAATTGTCATGGCAAAAGTGAAAGGCATCAGACCAAATACTTTCTTTTGTCAGGAAATTCAGGTTTTGATAATATGATTTATTTTTAGTAGATAATTACATTTAAATTTCTTTTACCATATATTTCTTTCATCATGTATTTATAGTAATGAATGAGCTTCAGATTACAAATGCAGTTGTCTCCAATTAAAAGCATTTCTACTTCAGAAAATGTTGTGATGTTTGCCTTGCAGATCATCTATTGTCAGAAGATGAAATACTGTATCAGACCTGGCCAGAACATAATGTAATAAATGGATGTATCATTTATTATAGTGATTGCAGGAAGATGTGGCCTTTTCTGTATTTTTCTGGGTAGCATCAGGTTTCAAATTATGAAAGCAGTGATCCGTAAGCACACAATTTACCCTCTTGCAGGGCATTTGTTTTTTTCCTTGAGGTTTAAGGAAACAAATGTTTTTTTCTTCTTTGTAGGGTGAATTCAAGGCCTTAGGTCTCTACCTCAGAATCCTTTGCTGGATTTTTGAGTCTGCTGTTTCAGGACGTCTAACAAGCTCAACAGTAATGCAGCAAACAAGCTTCTCCAGTGAATATGTACTTTCCTTATGGTGATTTATATGTATTGTAACAGTTAAAGAGACAAATCAGACTATTAGAGATCACTCTGTGCCTTTCCTCTTTAAAAAGTAATAGTTATTGCTAAATACTTAGTGGGTTGGGATTTCAGGGTTTTGTTTGCCTTTGTTTTGTTTTGAAGAAAACTTTGCTGCAGAAAAAAGCTACTGACATCAGTATGTGATAGAAAGAGATCTTAGGGCTGTGTTAGATGCCTTTCCACGGAAACGTCAGCTTAATGTTTATTAGTGGTCAAAAAAAGCAAATTAAATATTGGGAATTATTAGGAAAGGACTGGAGGTGTCATTATGCCACTGTATAAATCCATAACTTTCATATTTTGAATAAATCTGCAATTCTTACTTGCCATCCTATAGATAAGAAAGCAAAGGTTCAGAGAAGGTCAATGAAATTCATTATAGACATGAAACAGTTTACATGGAGGGAATGCATGAACAAGGATGCTTCAGTCAGGAAAAGAGAAAACTAAGTGAGAATATCATGAACATACAAAATATGTGTGATGCGGGAGAAGGTAAAGAGTAAGAGCCAATAAATTATCAGTTTCAGTGCAAAAGTTGAGGGGAATGGAGTTGGCAAGAAGCAGATTGGAGCCAGAGAGGTGGGAATAGTTGCTCATACAGCGCTGAGTTAGCTCTGAGGCTGTGCACTGCAGCATGCCGTGTGCCCAGCGGTTGCAGAGGAAGCTGGACAAGTTCCTGGAAGGAAATTCGCTGAGGTTTATGTACTATATGGAAACCACGTCTGGCTCAGGAAGTCCTGGAGCCACCAGTGGTTGGAGTATTCGGGAAACATGTGCTTGGTCTGTCCTTACAGTCTTCCTAAGCATCCATTTGGCCTCTTTGGAGACCAGACATTCTTCTAGACAGACCTTTAGTGCAGCCTGATACAGCCACTCTTACGTTCTTATATTATGGATTATTTTTTTTTAATTTAAATTTTCAACATGTTTTTTCCTTAGGTTCTCTTAGGAGTGCCAAGTATTCTGCAGTCACCAGTTGCTGAAAATGTGTTTGCTCTTTTTAAAATTGTTTAAAACCTTTTTTGTATGTTTGCGATTAAAGTTTTCAGTCTTTGTAACTTCACTTTGGGATTTAAGTAGTCATTTTAGTAAGTGCTAGTTATATTTGAAATCTGTTAAGTGTCACCTAGAAGGTGAAGCCGTTTTTATTTATACCTTTCCTCACTCTGAAAATGTGCTGAAAGCTTGTTTAGTGGTGCTGCATTTGATAAGAGAGGTGGCTTGAAATCACTTTGTGGACTGCCATTTGACCTCCTATATAATGAATAGAATTGGTTAAAAACCTGTGCCTCGGAAAGGTACTTCCTAACAGTCAGCTATAAATAATTAGCCATAGCGTATAAAAAAAAGTAGCTCAGCTGTGTGTGTTAGGTTACAGCTGGAAATGGGGTGGTGGAGGGGAGGGGTTCTGTTTCATGGAAAACTTTGTTACAGGTACGTTATATCTGCCCTTTTAACATTTTTAATTACTGTAATACCTGTGCATCATGCAAATCTCAAGTGTATGAAAGGTCAAGACCTAAAGAGACAGTTGTCTGCTAATTGGTGGCAAGAAGTATCCTATTTGATTAAAATTGCCAGAAAAATATAAAATCTTCTTGTTTGGAAAGGTTTTTATTAAAAGTAACTCGCTGTTGCACACGCAGTGGTTTTCTGACTCATGCAAAACTGTTGAGGCTGGAAGTCCTGTTAGCCAAGGACCTTTTTTTAAGGGGAGCTTAGCCCTTGTAATAAGCCAAGAGTTGAAAATCTCTGTTCCTGGTGCTTGGGTATATGCTTGGGAAGAACTGTGGCTCCTGAAAGCAGGGTCTCTCTCCAACAGGTCGAGCTTTAAATGTGAAGAGCAGAATTGTCAGGTCTATCTGAAGCTGGAGGATGAGCTCTGGAAGCACGAGAAGTATAAAAGTAATTTGTTAAAGCTGGTTGCATTCAAAAATGGAGTAACAGCTCTTCAGCAGGGCATGTTTCAGCTGGGACATGGTCTGCTTCTGAGAATAATCCCTGCTTTAGCTAGAGAGGAAAGATGTCTTATTGGTAGAAATACGTCAACATTTTCCTTGCAAAATCTGCAGGAAGTATTCTGCACCTGCCTTTACATTTGTGTGAGTAATTTCAGTCAGATCAATAGACTCTAACTCCAGCTTACTCATTTCAGCAATTACTCACGTGTCTGTCTATAATTAAGCCCTTGGATGGGACAAGATCCAGCAGAAGTCGTGCAAGTGACTCAGGCATTACTTCTTTCACAAGCCAATTAAAGTGATGCAAGCAAAGATTTTGGAAAGGTTTGG